CTCCCCGGGAAACTAGCTAAATTGTGTCTGCTACTTCCCCACTCCTTGTCATAGACTCTCTTTTGTCAACCCTATGAATTGCCTTCATCTGACTTTGCTCATTGGTCAAACTCTGCAAAATTATTATACCAAATTATACCAAAGATGTTTCTCTTAATTCCATCAACTTAAAGCTTTATTATTTAAAGGAATTGTTGGAGAGATCAGTTAGACCAGCATCCTCATTTTATGTACTAGAAAATTGAAATACAGTGAATTGAAGGTAGTGTCTCACAAAGTAGAGACTGGGCCAACTTATCTTAGTATGATTCTGAATTAATGGAATCTATGGAAGAGACTTTGGAATCAGACAATGAGTTTTTTCACTGCAACTTATTATCATATTATTTATGTGCCATAGCTTTATCATCTGTAAAAACAGGGATGATGTTAATATCCATCTCAATATGTTAGTACAAATATCGAATATGTACAATTTGTCCATATACCCTGTGAACATGGTATATCTATTTATTTATGTGTTCTTTAATTTCAATACGATTTTAGTTTTCCTTTTAGGGGTCTTACCCCTTTTGTAATAGATGTAGTCTTTGATATTTTTTATTCAACTGAGATGATTATATACTTGTTTTTTTTCTTTTAATGTGGCTAATTACATTGATTGATTTTCAAATATTAAGCTGATCATGCATTTCTGGAACAAACCCAACATATACATATATATATATTGGGCTTATTCTGTTGTTTTCTAATTTCTAAAATTGGATACCTAATCATGTTCAGCTTTTTTTGTTTTTGGAAAGTAAGTCTCTAAGAGATAGTCCTTAGAGTTAGGGCAGGAATATTTGTATTAATGTAGTACAGAGGTGAGCTGGAAAATTTAGCCTATTACTGGATTGCTGCTTCCCAGAGACCTGTAATATTTGGAAAGGGTAGCAAAAATTTTGGTATACAGAATGCTGTCTCTGCCAGACTAATTGTTATCGTGGACCCCCACATAATTAATACTTTACCTGTACACTCAAAAAACATACTTGCTCCATTGTATTTCCAGCTAGTTAAGGTTGTCAGAAATTTGTATTCAGGCAGATGTTCCAGAAAGTGAAATATTATATAATTATGTTCATTAAAATCTTTATGCCACTTTACTTATAGGACAACCCAACAATAAAAACTGTCCTTAAAAGCACTAACATTTTGATGATTTCTTTTCTTAACAAGTAAACAAAGCAAACATACATAAACATACACAAATACATGCACATTCACATACTTGTTTTTTTTTATTTGTTTTTTGTTTAAGATTTTTATTGAGGAATTGGGGGAAGGGGAACAGACAAGTTTCTGTCCTTTTGTTCTTCAGTCTAGTTGTGGAGGACGTTGCTTCGCTGGCCCAAGTTGGCACCATCATTGCGCTCTTCCCGGGCGAGGCAGATCAGTCGCCGACTTCTGGACGGCTGCTCATGGCGGCT